AGCTGCAAAAAAAAAAAAAAAAAAAAAAAAAAAAAAAAAAAAAAAAAAAACAGACAACATGAATGGTGTTTCGATTCTCTATTACCCATTCCTTAATTTTCTTTTAAATTCAACTTTTTATACCTAAACACCAAATCTAATACGGTTTTGAACAGAGTAAAACTCAAGCTCAACATTATCTAACGCTGTTTCTTCAACCCATTTATAGCCTGTTTGACCAAACTTTTTTTTGGGCCAAAACATTTTTGGCCAAAAATTGAGGTGTTTGGTTAAGCTTTTGGTAGAAAAAAAATGCTTTTGAGGAGAAGCAGAAGCAGAAAAAAGTAGTTTCTCTCCAAATGTACTTTTCTGAGAAGCACTTTTAAGAAAAATACACTTAGAAGTAGTTTTTAAAAGCTTGGCCAAACAATAATTACTGCTCAAAAGTGTTTTTTAAATTAATTAGTCAAACACAAACTACTTTTCACCAAAAAACACTTCTCAAAATAAGCTGATTTTAGAAGCTTGGTCAAACAGGGTATTAAACCCGTCTAAATGTCACATAACACTTTTTTTATTCAACCCAATTTAACCCGTTTAAATCTCACAGAATGACACAAACCACCAATCGGAAACCACCCACCACCTATATCTTTGCATGGCGAAATTAGGAATTTCTTCAAGGGTGTTCAAATTTTAAAAAAATGAAGAAAAATTCTGACAAAGATGTTCAATATATATTATATACATCTAAAACGTAATATTTTATCTATGTACACAATGCAATTTTTCGACGAAGGGTTATGATCATGTGTCGTTTGTCTAGTCCTATTCAATCCGTACATTAAATAGGACTAAAGTCTTAAACAATGGCACATTAAATGCAGCATTCCAACCTTTCAATCTATGGCCGTGGTTACGGGGGAAAGGGTGCGAGATGCTAAGAGCTTTAAGAAAATAAATAAATCTTTCATTTTCCTATATCCAAAGCAAGATTAATCCTAAGAAATATAAAATAGTGCTCTTTGAAATCTGTAATTTTCAGCAAGATTAGTCCCAAATAAAGCGAACCTAATTTTTGGTATCTGGGAGTGTGGTCTTACAGTTAAGCGAAACTGTATTCAAGATCATATGTGACTATAGTAGGAACTTTTGTAGAGGCAAAGAGATTACCTACTTTTTTTTTTTTGAGCTATGGTAGATTGTTTTACGTATAAGGTACTTGGTTGAATTTCTTTGAGGCAGGTGAGAATATAATATTCTTGGCAGTAGCACATATTTAAAGGTTGATGTATTATTCAAATCCTCATTACCTACTTTCTTATAATTAATAGTAATTGGATATCTTAAGTTAAAATTAACGGATATCAATCTGCAGGGATACAATTATTGTACTCATTCACTCTTTCCATCTGAAATGGTTCCTTGGTTCTATGTCATCACTATCTTTTCTTCCTTCTTTTACTACAAATCAAGTGCTGAGCTCATAACTTCTCTTCCTGGACAGCCTCCAAATATTTTCTTCAAACAATACTCTGGTTATATTGTTACAAATTCTCAACATGGCAGAGCTCTATTTTATTACTTTGTCGAAGCAGATTCAGAAAATGCAGCGTCACTTCCCCTTACTCTCTGGCTCAATGGAGGTACATTTTTTCTAATAACATTGATTTATAGTTTTAACAACTGTAAATATTAATTTGGTTGTATTCAAAATATTAGGCCCTGGTTGTTCATCTGTGGGTTTTGGTGCTTTTATGGAGCACGGTCCATTTCAGCCAGGGATTGATGGAAACCTAATGAAAAACAAGTATTCCTGGAATTTGGGTAATGTTTCTTGTTTCCTGAATGATCATATTGAAAGATTTTATACCTGAAAATTGGATAACAATGGCTGATTTTTAATTGCTATGAAACAGTATCGAACATGTTATACGTGGAGTCCCCGATTGGAGTAGGATTTTCATACTCAAATACAAGCTCAGACTACATCAATTGGGATGATATGGCAACTGGTATTCCAGTTTACTCGAAATAGCCAATAATATTAGTAAGGCAATGCCTGAAAACCTTTAAATTTATTCTTTTTAATCTTTTACAGCTAAGGAGAATCTCCAATTCATCCTCAACTGGTTCAAGAAATTCCCCCAATATAGAAACTCGGATGTGTACTTAGCCGGGGAGAGTTATGCAGGTTAATAATCTGAACTCAACTTACCTATGTCTATTTTGCTTTTTGGTTGCTAAGATTTGTTAACTGATATGTTTATGGTTATTAGGTCACTATATACCACAGCTGACAATATTGCTGCTTGATTACAACAGAAAGCCTAATGTTGAACCAATCAACCTTAAATCAATTGCAGTAATGTCTACATTACCCTTGAACTATTTGTTCATACTTGTTTCACTTTCAAATCTTCACTTAGTCCAATGAATTTTGCAGCTGGGGAATCCACTGCTAGATCTTGAAATAAGCGTGAAGTCTGCTCAATATCTATGGTCACATGGTGCCATTTCTGATGAACTGCTTACTATGAAAAGAACAATCTGTAACGAAACGAGGTTCTTGCTGGAATCAATACATAATAATTTATCTAACGAGTGCAAGAAAGTTTCGGAACTCACAGACGAGGAGATGGGAAGTGATATAGATATGGGCGATCTGCTCGCGCCAACATGTGTATCTTCTGGTACAGCAAAACAATTGGGAGCCCTTGCCACAATACATGGAAAAGTAGGAAATTTAATTGTTTTTAGGACATAATTAACCGATTTGCAATTGAAGCTAACTTGTTGCAACTTTTCTATTGACAGTTTGTTAAGAAAGCTGTAGGAGAAGTTGCTGATCCATGCCTTACTGATAGGATAAATCTGTACCTAAACAAGCCAGAAGTTCAAAAGGCACTACATGCCAACACCACTTACCTGCCATATGCCTGGGATTTTTGTTTGGGGTCAGTTCTCTCCTTCCCTTTATTTTCTATTGCTAGTTGTTAATGTAGTGTTCACACTATTTTTCCGTTTTTCATAGTATCGGGCCTTTATTACTGGTTATTGTTCTTGCTTTTCCATTTATTTTCTGGCTCTTATAATGCTGTTATTATTTTTCTGGTTTCTCTTGCTGTTACTGATCTATTGTCTCTTTTCGTCTTCTTGAGTGGAGGGTCTATCGGAAACAGCCTTTCTAACCCGGGTAGGGGTAAGGTCTACGTACACACTACCCTACCTATACCCTACTTGTGAGATTTTACTGGGTTGTTGTTGTTGTTGCGCTAAAGTGTGTGAATCATCTTATCTAAAAGCTTAAACTGGTAGGCAGGGAATGCTTTCCTTATTTATTTTATGTATGACGGCAGCATTTACTTTCTCTTGTTTACATTATTGCCTGTGCATTTATAAGACAAGTATGCTAAAATTCTGAAAATGCAGGAACCTTCACTATCGGAGAGAAGATTTAGCTGTAAACACTATACCTCTACTGTCAAATATTCTAAAAGAGAATATCCAAGTTCTACTTTTCAGGTAGTTCATCACAAAATTTGAAGTTACTATACTCAAATTTCCTCCTATTCAGTCCTGGTGTTTTCAATTTGTTAAAGCTCCTACTCTGTAGTAAGACTAAGATTGTGGATGTCTTTGTTTTTAACAGTGGAGATCAAGATTCAAAAATCCCACTGACCCAAACTAGGAAAATTGCTAAGCTGCTTGCTCGAGATGTAAAGCTAGTTGCTTTAGACAAATATGGTTCTTGGTATGATGGTTTGCAGGTATGTCTTGCCCTTAATAGAAGGTGTGACTGCATTCACAGTTTCTAGTATGAATCATATAGCAAAAAATAAATGTATATTAATGCAGTTGTTCCAAATCCACTAACTTAATTTAAATATTGAAATCATCTCTACAACCACTGGAAAGACGTGCATACATAATTTGTAGATTAATTGCAGATTGGAGGGTGGAGTCAGTCATTTGGAGGGCTAAGGGAAGGCAAAAACATTACATATTTAACATTTGCTAGAGTTAGGGGTGCAGCTCATGAAGTCCCCTACACTTCTCCTTCACAAGCTCTTACACTTTTTAGAGCATTTTTGAGAGGACATCCTCCACCACCAAGGAACAGCACCGCTCGAGCCCCTACAACAACAACAACCCAGTGGAATCTTACAAGTAGGGTCTGGGGAGGGTAGTGTGTACGCAGCCTTACCCCTACTCCGAAGGCCACCGTTCGAGCCCCGAAGTTGCGTAATCCTATTGATGTGATGAACCTCTTTTCGTCTGTTCTCTAGACTTTGATAACAGATTCTCAAGCTTTATTTTGAATCTTTGTCCTCTTTTTTTAATCTTATATTTGTTTAAGTATATTAATTAATTTGGGTTACTAGGCAACGAGGTAATTATAGTCATAGAAATCTTTCAATTTCTATCCGCCTACTCAAATTATTCCGTAAAGTATATGGCGGAAAGTATTTGGAATAAGTTTTGAGGGATTAAAGGGGTAATTATCTCTTTAACCATATTTATGCAAGTATTACAAACCCTTGCATTGCTAGTACCATAGTTTATTATGTTTATTCATATGATAATACCAAATAGGAGTATAACGAATACATTAGTTATATATAAGTTGAAAAAATGAACCAAATAAGGGATTAGTAATGCACAAAGCTAATATTTTCATTATTTTTTTTATACCTCCTACCATACCACCCCTAAGGCATTAGATATAAAATGAACGCACTAACAAATTTCTGTTGAAACTGGCTAAGACAAATAGGTATAAATCTATCCTAATTCGGATCATGATGCAATTACCTATGTTATGAACTTGCTCTATTCAATTTTATTCCAATCATAATTTTTTTTTTTGAAGTTTGACTTTCGTATGTAAATAGAGTTTAATTGTTGATCAAACAATCAAATAATTAAGATCAAGATTCAAGAATGAATAAATAATCCAATGCACAAAGCTAATATTTGCATTATTTTTTTAATACCTCCTACCAAACCACCCCTAAGGGATTAGATATAAAATGATGCACTAACAAATTTCTGTTGAAACTGGCTAAGACAAATAGGTATAAATCTATCCTAATTCGAATCATGATGCAATTACCTATATTATGAACTTGCTCTGTTCAATTCTATTCCAATCATAAAATTCTTTTTTCAAGTTTGACTTTCGTATGTAAATAGAGTTTAATTGTTGATCAAGCAATCAAATAATTAAGATCAAGATTCTAGAATGAATAAATAATCCAATGTGATAAATCAAATGAGAATCCTAATAATATTAGTACTCTTGTTTGATGTTCTAAAACTAAAAGACCGAAAATCAACCGTTTCGAGCCGAAATTAAGAAGAACCGAGATGATTGGGAAAATTTGAGAGTCTAATTTTTATTATACGCAAGAACTAGTATGATATAAATTTTTTGGGATAACTAGCTGTGTAAAATCATTGTCGTCCCTAATACTGTTTCAAAGCTTGTGAGTGTGGTCTCTGACTGCATTATGCCACAAAATATACTAGTGCCGAGTAGACTGATCAAATGTGTATAGTATGTCGAGAGGAATTGTCGAGAAGACCTCCTCAACACTTGAATTAGTCACGTGACCTCCCATTTTCTTTCTCAATTTCTTTTGAATTGAAAAATGGTTAAATGAGTGGGTTAAGGTGGATGGAACCTTTTTAACATTTTAAAAACTTGTGAATCACCTATAAGGTTAAAAAAAATAATACTTCTCTCTCATTTTTCCGCACAAATTCTCTCTCATCTCTCTACTCTCTCTGCTCTTTCTTCTCTTTGTCCCTCAACCCCCTCGACCATAGTGGTTTTCGGCGAGAAGGGACAAGAATCAAGCTTCGATTTTGGGTAGAGTTGTCTCTATAGACCCAACAAGCATTGTATTAAAGCTCAGAACGTGCCAATTTTGGTAAATTCACAATTTTTCTTCGTTTCTTACATTTTGTTTCCAGATTTTATAGAGTGATTCGTTCATGTGCATGTTCAAGATAGATTGGATTGTGTATAACCATATCTAATATGGCGTGAGTGGTTATATTTACTTCTTTGACTATCTCTGTACTCTGTATTTTAGAATTTTGTAGTAACTAGTGACCTAATGTTTATTGATAAACCCATGGTCAGTTGTTTTCTGGTAATAGATATTTGCTGGAATTGGGGCTTATTTTTCTTATTCTGATCATAAGTTTGAAATTATTAAATGTGACATTGCATATTTGCATGTAGGTAACATGAGGAGGAAATAAGTTGCTAAGAAGCATAGTCCTTCAACATAGAAGGCAATTGCACAGCCTTCAAATAGGAAAGGAAATGCAGATAAAGAAGCATCGCCAAGTAAAACAATTGCTGAGCCTTCAAAAACTTTGACTAGAAAACGAAACGTAGATACTTCTAAAGATTCCCCTAATAAAGGAAATGCTGAGATTTCTAAGCGTGATAGGAGATAAAAGAACAAAGAGCCATCAAAGTCTATCGGTAAAAAAAAGGAACAAGATCAAGGTCTAGATTAGTTGACGAGGATATACCTGTTAGTAAAAAATCTGTTTCAAAGAGGTTAATATTAGAATGTGTTGATAAGGAGGAGGAAGAGGACTTGGACATAAATGCAGCACAAACTCAAATGGAAGAACATGTTTCTGTAAAAATAATTGTCGAAGAAGAAAAGGACAGTGATGATAAATCTTTAGATGGGGAGGATGATGAAAATGGTGATGATGCTGCTCAGGAAGTTGATAAAGATGACGAAGAAGAAAAAGAAGAAGATGTAGTAGAAGAAGGTGACGATGAAGAAGAAGATGATGAACAACTTGAAGATGGTGAAGATGAGCTGGAAAGTGAAACACATGCAACAGTTAAAAGTGACCAGGATGCTCTATCAATTCCCGTGTTTGTAAGGGCGATCGACGCATCCAAATACAAATTCAGGACTTTTCTAAGAAAGCATAGACGTTTTCCCTCCAAGATTAGTGTAAGGTTTAGGATCAATATATTCCATGAGTTCAAGGATAAACTTAGAACAATCAAATTGATGGAAAAGATTAATAGTAGTTGTTTTTGACAGTTTGCAAAACTTTTAGAGCACTGGACAGCTTGTCCATTCCCTGTTGATTCTCCGAATTTATTGCACGAAAAAGAGCGAGTTATGATTTTTAGTTGGAGACAATCATGTTCGCTTTGGATTGAAGGAGTTTGCTATGATGAATAGATTGAATTGTAGTGCCAAACCTAGTAAAGAAGAAATGAAGAAAGTGATGAATGATGGCGAAGCATTCTGCGACAAAGTTTGTCAGTCTAGCAGGAAGAGGGTGGATGCAAAGCTGCTTTTAAAACAGTTGAAGTCTAAGAGGTTTGATACAATCGAGAAATTTAAGATTGTATTGGTATAGTTTGTCCATTCAGTCTTGCTTGCACGGGATAACATAGCGCACGTCGATAAAAAATGGATTCGTATGGATAATACTATGGAGGTTTTCATGAAATATCCATGGGACAAGGAGTATTTTCAGCTTACAATTAATTAATTGAGGAATGACATATTTCCAACGTACAAATAATATGTGAGCAAGAGGAAGAAAAATAAAATCTCTTGTAAAAAGTCCAAATCGGCTAGTTATGCGTTGTACGGCTTCCCATGGGCATTCTGGTAAGTATCAAAAATACTTTTACAAATTTCTTTGCAGTTGAGTACTATTATTTTATTTACTACAGACATAAATTAATACTTTTTGGTTCATGAAAAAATATAGGCATGGGTGTACGAAGTAATTCTGCTATTTGGTTGTAGTGCCGAGAAATCAAAGGTTGTACCGATGCCGCAGCCAAGAATGTTGAGATAGCATGGTAAGAAAGTGACATCTAATTGGGATCCCTTTAAGCAGAGAGTTGATGACTCTGGTATGGTAAGATAAGGAATGCAATAACACTCTACCAATATATTAGAATGAACCAAAGTAGGAGATTATCATAGACCGCGTGTCTATTTTTTGTATTGCTTGTCTATTGATTTCCATCTATGTTATATTTCAAGAGGTGCAACCTTACCTTATTCGTATATGTGAGATGGATATAGACTACATGAAAAATTTGGTACGATATGACGATGAGGTAGCAGATCCTATAATCGATCAGCTAGCAGTTGATTTGGAATGGGTGACTGTCATTAAAAAGGCACCTATGCAGTGAGCTTAGAGATTAATGATGAAGTTGACATTGTTGATTATGACCCTTTGGATGGGTGTATTCCTGGTTCACCACTAGTTGGTGTTTTTTATAATATCGGTAGAGAAGGACTATGCATGATGTGTAATGCTCAGCCAAGTGATACAGATGTGCACGAAGAGTTGAAGGTTGCGAATGAGAAATTGGATAAGGTGTTGAATATCCTTCGGGAGATGCAAAATCAGAATGAGAGCCCTTCTAAAGTAGTTGAGTCACCTTGGTACAGGGTTACAAGATTGCAAAGCATATTGAGGAATGCTCTAATTTCTGCAAGCAAGATGAGGAAGCTTAAACAGATCAAGAAGAAGAAACCAAAGGTTGATGTACTCTAACCAGTTTTAGAGGACGATACGAAACTATTTTGTAAATAGTTTGACAAGAAGGAGAAGTTCCCCAAAAACTTCTTGACTAGCAGCTATGGTTAGTGGTTTTTTGAGCAGTTGTGCGGTTCTAACTCGTTCATTTTAATTTTGTAAGTCCCTTCATGTATTTCTTTTTTTAGAAGCCATTTTTAACGTACAATTTTTATAACATTTAACATGTGGAGGAACTTTTGTCACTGATACGTGTATGAAACAAAAAATGTTTATACCTTTATACCCATAGCCATATTGTTATGGATGTTGCATTATGCAACAACATGTGCAGTGTATGGGATAAGATCAAGGAGGTTGCCAGTAAAAAGGGAAAGGATCTAGACTTTTGTGAGACAATTGATGCTTGCCAAGACTTGTGACTTACACCCCTGATGCTATATCCTCAAGAAAATATGTTCTGGGGTTGTGGAGTGGTCAAGGCTACAGTGTTGTACTGTGTGTGTCAAATTGATAACAAGTATTTTGTGCTTATTGTTTTTCACTTGGTAGAGGGTTTGATTCGAATTTACGATAGCAATGTCAGTTTGTAAGATAATGGTAAACTAGAAGAACTGGTATTATGATAATACTAGGTAGCATAGATATCATTATGGGAGAAGTTGATCGTTGAAATGATAATTGATACAATAGAAATAGAAACTATCAATTCTTTTTCCAAATTGGAATCCTTAAAAGAAGTCTATGGGATCATATGGATGCTTTTCCCTATTTTGACTCTTGTATTAGGAATCACAATAGGTGTACTAGTAATTGTTTGGTTAGA